AACCACTTACCCTATCTCGAACCTAACTTCTGTATCTGGAAAATAAACAACACAACACTTTTCCCTACCTCTGGTTTTAGGAGGATTAACAGAGAATCTAGATGGTATCAGACTCCTTGTGTTCTGTGCTTTACAAATAGCCCAGAAAGCTGATTTGTGTGCCGGAGGAACCTCACTGTGCAAGTGCAAGATGGGGACACCGGGTAGGTGCTGAAAAGCAGCGAGACAAGGCAGAGCTGTCGGGCAAAGAGACCCCAAGCATTGCCCACCAGTTGCTGTCAGCTTTCCCGTCGGCATCTCGTCAGGGATGCGCAGGGAAGAGAACGAATCACTCCGTGGGTGTTCACAGGAAGCTACCCCCGAGCGCGCGGGAGAGGCACGGGACAATGCACACGAGGGGCGGCTTGAGAATCCATGTGGGTGATCTTCCCAGCAAGCCTGGGGGAGACTCCGTGATATGCCTGAAGGAGGCACGAACACCCCCTTCCTCGGCAGAGAACTCGGCTCTGGCAGGTTCTGATCCTTTCATTCACATGAGGTTTTCTCTTCGCTCCCTAAATGCCCCTGCACTTTGCTATTCAAGGCTCTTTTCCTTCTCGTTGTCACTGCCACAGCAGCACACGAGGTTGAGATATTACAGATGAGTTTGCATGGAGGAGGTGACTTGGCTCCTTCTCAGACCCCAGTGGAGCCGGTAGAGCTGAACCTTCCAGTGCCCTCCAGAGCTCTCCCCACTGAACGGCAGTGGAGGGAGCTGAAGAAGTATTGCCTTTCCCTTCCAGTGCTGCCACACTCACTGACGTCCTCGCTTAATCCTCTTGCGACAGCAGGCTGCTCATCAAAAACCCTTCGCTCGCCACGTTGCCATCATCCTGGGAAGCCAACTGAGCGCGGAGATGCTCAATTCCTCCCCCTCCACACACCTTCCATTGTCTTCAGGACTGACAGCTCTGATGTGGAGCAGTGATAATGCTGATGCTGTCAGGGCCTGGTACAATTGCACCGCAGGGAAAAAGGCGACTGGCTCTGACTCATCCGAGCCGCCTGGAGCTCAAGATGCCTTGTGCTTGTCTCCTGGCACAGCTCATCACAGAGCAGTGCAGCTTTGGTGGGCTCTGGATATCGCCCTGTGAGGCAGGAGTTGACCATAAGCCTTTCAAAGGGCTAGCACTGGTGGCCAGCCATCCTTTGGAATGTGGAATAACCCACAGGAAAAAGGAAAAAGACTCATTTCTGACCTCTGCTGAAGGCTTTGGTGTGCGTGGAGGAATAAAGGTGATTGGTGTTTCTGTGCTTGACCTGTGTTCAGGGTGCTTAGCAAAGCACCTGTGCAACTCCTGAGTGATAATGATGGCCTGTCTTTGAGCTCCTCACATGCCCATCCTTACGGAATGAGCTGAGCCAGGGCTGAATTTCTGGGATGCTCCAAAATGCAAGGGGTCCAGGCTTGAAATAGCATCAGAATTGCCACCCACCGAGATGGGAAGAGCATTCCAAGAGGTGAAGCTGGACTGCGATGTGTGACTTCTGGTGACCTTGAGGAAAGTGGCTCGATGCTGCCCATCCTGGCCAGGTCAGCAGCTGAAATTTCCATGACTGAAAGCAGAAACTCAAGGGGTCATTTCTGTTTCCTTTTTCACCTTTTCCCCAACATGACATTGAATGAGAGGCGTTAGGAGCCTCCTCCTATAAATAGGATCACCCCTGTCAAAGCTGGTTAAGTCATACCCAGTGTCAAGCCCATAAACAAGATGCCTCTCCGATGCACTGTCTGGAGGGTGCAGAGGGGTGTACAGGGAAGCTTGACAGCTCCCTGTTGGAGTCATTGACGTTGGGACACCAGCTATTTTCAAGGCAACAAACAAAACCACCCCTAGCTCTGATATGGAGGATGTGGGGAATGGTGCAGGACAGAGGCAATGTAGTTGAGGACCACTGCTGTGTGTTGTAGCAGAAGTGAAGCTGTATTGTGAGAGGAGGCAGGTAAGGCATAAAGTATGCAGGTGCTGGCACCTCCATGGCTGCTACCACAGTAGGGATTAAATGCTCTGATTTCACCTATTCCTTCAAGTTCTTTCCTAGAGCTCTGGGATGACCTTGGAACCCTGCACTTCCAGCTGACTCAGTTTCCCCTGGAGGGAGCTCCATGAGAAGCAGCAGTTTCAATGGCATCCTTTACAAAGCAGCTTTGCCATACTGGAGTCAACTGGGGCATGGCAGTGAAGCCAGAGACACAAAGCAAAGCATCCTTGAAACAAGAGAGTGTAAGTGTCCCCCTGTGCCAGCTGCAGGCACATCTGGACAGAGCTGGCTTGGCAGAGCTGCAGGGATCCACAGGGTGATGCATGCATCACGGTGGGTCCATAGCAGACCACCATGGGGCAGTGGGAGCTGGAGAAGGGACCCTGAGGCCACCTTTGCTTTCCTTCTCCCCCCCTCCCGGGAGCTTCTTCCCACCTCTTCACCAAACTTTGTGCTGCTCTGAGACTGGGGGCTGTGAGGAACCTGTTGTGCTGAAGTGATGTCAGTGAATGTGTCTTCAAAGAGAGCAAAAAAAAAGACAACAAAGAAGGATTAAAATCATTAAGAAATAGATCATTTCTGCAGTCTGATTTCCCCACAGATCCCCTGAGCAGTTGCATCAGTACAGCTGAGGGGGTGGAAAACTGAAGTGGGGGCAGAAAGGAAGAAAAACTTTCTAAGTCAGCTCCATCACTGAACATCTCCTGTAACTATATGGAGACCTACAGCCACTCGTCCCTTGCAGACTTCAACAGTGTCTGGTTCCTGTGTGTGGAGACGCAGTCAGCAGAGCAGCGAGGAGAGATGTCTTGTTTGAAGCTGAACTGAGAGAAGCTTAGCAGGGGTGGAATTGCTGCTTGTTCTGAGATAGGCTAATTATATCCCGTGTCCTTGGAAGCCAACCCTTTTCCATTCTGCTTGCATAATAGGCATCCTATAGCTGTCACAGGAGCACAAGGCTTTCCCTCCCATCACTGCTGTACACAGCAGCCTGTCCCACTGCCAGCCTGCACCCCAGAAGCGCCGGGATGTCAGTCCTGCATTCCCCACAGGTGAATGCTGAAGCACTTTGGATTCCTTGGAGATGGAAACCTTTCTAGAAACGCTGGGTAAAGTAACTCTAATTCCTTGCTGTTTGGGATCAAGCTGGAGCCTGCTGCTTAATGGGGGATAAGTGGATGCAGTGCAGGCAGTCGATAACTTTACACACACACGCGGAGTCCTTTGGATTCCTGAGCTCCAAAAGACGCAAGCCCTGTAAGGCACTGACTCAGCTCGGAGCCTTTTGACTTTGTTTTTCCTCCTTTACAAAGTGACTTGTACTTTTATTCTTCCCCCCACCCCTTATTCATTTCTTTTTCCCCCCACTTACTCATTTCTTCCCCCCATAAAAAGTTTGCAGCTTGTCAAACAACTCTCCCTCTCCCTGTCTCTTTTCTCTTTGCCTCTTGCAGTGGGAGGCGAGATAATAATAAAAGGAGCAGTTTTCAAATAGAAAGCCCCGCGTGTTACCTGGGAGCTGTCTCTCAGCATCCAAATACCCTCTGGGGCAGCCATCGCTGAGTCCCTGCTGGTGTTCTGTACCCGCCAGACGCTGTCTGTATCCTGTCACTGAACGCCCCTGTCAGGTCTGTCACTCGGTACAAGCAGGACTGACTGGGCCCTTGTGAGATAGGATTTCCCTTTACACCTCCCTGCTAAGCGTTCCTCACTTTTTCCCTTTCTCCCAACAGGGAAAACTGCTGCTTCAGCTGCTGCCATGGCTGCTCCGAGGCTGGAGGAATGGGTTTGGGAGCGTTTGTGCTCTCTGAAATGCTCCTCGTCTTGAGCAGCCCTTTGGTCCTGCCTTACATCTCAGCAGGGAGGAAAGGAGGCTGTGATGCTGCCTTCCTCTCGCAGTCCTCAGTCCCAGCTCAGCTTCAAGCTGAGCCCTTCAGCACTCTCTGCAGCCTTTTGGGATGTCTAACTTTTGGCCACCTTTGTATGGCCTTCCTGAATTGCTCCTAGAAGAAACTTGCAGGACAAGGAGCTCCAGACCAAGGTATTAATGTGAGACCTTCCCATAAGACCAAAGGACTTGAAATGCCTCCCCTGAGCCCCACAAGAGGGGGAGCTGCTGGAGGTGACAGCCCAGCCTGCAGCACTTACCCCAGCCCTCCCCATTCCCCTTTGGGCTCTGAGCTAAAAAGTTCATTTGACTTTTACAAGGGCTGGAGGGACCAAGCAAGCAAAGCCTCAGGGTTTAGTCAGTGGGTACAGCATGTGCCTCTTCCTTCTCCCCCCTCCTTTCATTGCTGCTGACAGCTCTCCTGCACACATGGTGCCTGCTTGGCTCCAGAGCCTCTCCGCAGGATGAGCCTATTGACTGGGGCAGGAGAGCATTTGTTAATGCCTCAAGTAAGGGCTGCCTTCTCTTTCACTTCCAGGGCATCCCGATACCCTCTGAGCTCCAAGGAACCTGAAAAAGGCAGGGAAAGAAGGGGAAGAGATGCTGCAAGTGTCTAGAAGCATGGAGATGCTTTATGGGATGGAAAAGTGGTTCAAGCATGAGCCTACAATCACAGCGACTGTGCTCTGGGGCTGGGAATGGAGCGTTGCTCATCCATTCAGTATGGGATTTTTGGGAATCTTTGTAAATAAGCCAAGAACATGAGAAACAGAAATTCCTCCTGCTAGTGACACTGCACAGAGCCTTTGTTCTTGGCTTCTTCCTCCCTTGGAAGGCCTCAGAGAAGTTCTCCCAACAACACATCCCCTCTGTTCAGCCTCTTCCATCACTTAGCAGTTATCCATTAACTGGCCATGAATAATTCCATCAATTAGCCCATCTCTTGAGGATCCATTGCCTCAGGTGCCAGCAATGCCACTTTAGCACCAACAGGAAAGCAGCACTCAAGAGCTCTATATAGAAGCACTTGTTTAGGATCTCTTTGTTCTTGCTACTTTTATGGTGCTCCCTGTTTCAGTAAGTACACAGAGAGCTCAGGATCAGCTCATATCCTTCTTATAGTTATGACTCCTGCATCCTGGGCTGTGCTGGCAGAGGAGGATCAGCTCTTTCTGGCATCCATTTCCTTGCTCTTTGTGCTGGAGGCAGTGTGTGAGGATGCCAGGAAGGCTTTGAACCAGCCCATGGTGTCCTGTGACCTGGTCAGGCGCGATGGATGCAGGATGGTAAGAAACAAGGCGCATGTGTTGTGATGGAGGCTGTTCCTTAACGAATGGTTTCAAAGGAGAAGGGAAGTAGCAGGAACTAGCAGAAGAAAGGATGTTTTCAGCTCTTGCAGGGGAATCTGGAGAAAGAAAGATCCTTTTGAAAGTGTAAAATGGTGTCAGTAGGAACATAGTATTGTTATTCCTTTGATGAGACCCGTTAGCTGGAAATGGGAGGGCTTGCAGGTTATCCCAGGTAGAGAAGAAAGTGGCAATGGAGTGGAGGCTCCTTTGAAATGCTCTGCTCCTACAAAGGACACATCCCCACAGGAATCGGAAGCAGAGGATGTGGCCATGCTCAGCTCTGCCCTGCTTTGTTGGTGCTCAGCACGGATGTGTCTGACCCTGTCTTTTCTCTGGGCCGTGCTCTCAGAGCCCTGCCTGGCCGAGCATGGAACTTCCTTGCTCCTGTTCATCCTTTGCCATGGTTTCCCCTCTTTATTTCCCCTGGCACACGTACGCTGCTTTGCATTTAAGACATCACCTAGCAAATTCTCTTAGCCCATTCCTGGGTGCATCTGTGTGCGTTGTGTTTGAGGTGCAGATTGCTGTTGGCTTTTTCTCTTCTATCAGTGCCTGTTCTAATGCTGAAGATGAACTGTAGGGACAAGATCAAGGCACAGGAGGAAGAGAGAAGGTAAGTGGATTAACCAGGACAGCTTTGCATGTCTAGGAGTTCTTAAACTGTGTGATGGTCTTGCAAGGGAAATGATGGAAGGCTGAAAACTGGGGAGACCCAAACCTAGCCTAAGGTGTAGAGACGACAGTGAAGGCAAAAGGATGAGACATTCCCTGGCATCTGCTTTTTGCTCTTGCACTCTCCAGCTCCCAGTCCCTGATGCAAGCAGGGCAGCAGCCAGCTGGTACGAGGGGAGCTGTACCTGTTTCCATCAGCCAGGAAGGGGTGTGTGTGTGACTTGCTGCTATGCTTTTAGTGCCCAGATACCTTTTTGACAGCTTCTGCACCTTGTGTCTCTTCACAGGGCCAGAGGGGAGTGTGAGCAGCTATTTCCTCGTTCCTTAAGGGAAATGCTAAACAGGGACACAAGAAGCTCTATACCCAAATGTGGTGGGTAAGCTCAGCAATGCAGCTAGGCGGTGCACTTGGCTCTGCTCAGGTGCCACAAAGGAAAAGGCCAGGGGCTGCAAATTAATTACTGTTAGTGATGCCACCTTCCTGCAGAGAACAGCAATCAAGCCTCGCTTTTGTCCAGTGCCCAGCCTGCAAAGATGCCTTCTGGCATCCCTGCACTGCCCATGAGCCCATATGTTCCCAGTGGGAGCCACGGAGCCATCAGGCAGCGCCGGATGAAAGCATGTTTTGACTCATGGGGCAGAGGCTGTGTGGAGAAACCTATTGTTCCCCAGTTGCTTCTTTAATTGACACAGTGAAAGAAGCCACATCTTCCTGCCTCCTTCTGACCAGGTCTGTAATTGAATTCAGCTCAACATCTCCGCTACAGCCCCCCACCCCCAGGGGCCTGTCAATCAAGGATGGATTTTTTCCCTCGCCTTGGGAATTTCTCCTTAGTCCCATTCTTTTCAGTTAATAGGATCTAGTGAGAAAACCGGTAGCGGTAAATCTCCCAGCCCCCATTTCCTACCTTTCCCAAAGGTGCCTCACAAAGGAAAGGGCTTGGGCATTGAACGTGAGGGACTGAAAACGTGTGCAGCTTTCCTGTCTTTTGTTCATTCATCCTTTCCCTCACTCCCCTCAGGTCTTTTGTTTCTCCTTGCCAAAACTGCTTGTGCACGCTTCACTCAGGATCTAATGAGACTGTTTTAGAAGCTGCAAAGCTGAATTGGATCCTTCTTTCCCCCCCCCCTCCTCTCAGAGTGCAATGCCTGTTTAACCTTTCTCCCTCGGCATCCACCTCTCTCAGCAGCCTATTTGCAACTCCTTTGCTTGCAAAGAAAGCCCCGTGCTGACTGGTTTGAAAATGGGGGTTGCTGGGGAGGAAGGCAGGAGTATGCGATAGAGCTGCGGGGTACAATTCCAGGCTGGCTGCAGGGCACAGCTACTCCATGGATCTGACTTAGCCTGGTCTCTCCAAGCCCTGCCAAGATGTAGAGGGTTTTCATTGCTCCTTGAAAGGGAAATGTCGTTTGCGTGGCAAAGAGTGAGAAAGGACAGGGCAGCTCTCCAACCTCTTTATCCCATTCTAGCCTCTCTCCCCCTCCCCATCTCCCCTCTTGGCACCCCTACGCCGCTGAGGACTCAGCGCTGCATGAAAGCCTCCAGCCATCACTGGGAGAGCCCTTGGGGGTGTCTGAAGCTGCTGGATGCTGTTGCACACCCCTGTTAAACTTCGCCCTTGCTGCTGCGTGCGGGGAGCTGCCCACGCGGACCAAAGTTCGGTCCCCAGCCCACCGGTTCTCCTCCACAGGCGCTGACGTACGAGGCTCTGCAAGGCAGGAGGCGGTGAGGGGAGGCTGTTGGGGAGAACGTGTCTCTGAAGCGGTGCCTCCTCGGTGTGCAGAGACAAGAGCATTGAGGCTGGGGTTTATCCGGGGCAGAGAGCATGGTGTCTCCGAGCTCGCTAACCCTGCTCCTTGTCCTTGCCAGCCACAGCTGGTGGTGGGCGGGAGGAAGGAGCAGAGGGAGCAATCCCTCCCTGACCCTCTCCTTGGTGGTCTCCTTTTCCTGTGGACACATGTGAGAAGGGATGAGGTTGCCTGGATTTTGTCGATGTGGATGCATTATGCGTGATGCCCTCCTGAAGGACTAGAAGGCAGAGAGCTTTTTCCTCCCCTTCCCTGTGGTTCATTCCCGGTTTCCAGGAGTTTTTCTGGTTTGGTTTTGGCTTTGTTTGCTTTGTTCTTGCTGGTTTTGTTTGAGTTTTAATTGCATGTGGCTGCCAGGTTTATGTTCCACGTCTCTGTGGGGATCCACATTCACTGCCCAGATTTCCTGCAGCAGGAGGAAGAAGCTCATACACAGCTGGGAAGAGCGTATGAACCTCAGGATGTTGCTCCCAGCATCCTGCTCCTGAGACCACTGAGACAGTACCTTCACGTGATGCTGAGGTTGGTTACACCAAGAGCTCACAGGGCAATCTGACTCTGCAGTGTCCCAGAGATACCAGCACCTCCATAATCATGACTAGGGAGAGCTCTGCATGTGCTGAGACCCTCTTTTAGCTGGCAGCGACAGGCCTGGAGGCAGGGACAGTCATACCAACATGTGCTTGTGTCCTGCCTCCACCAGCTATGAGGAGGAGGAGGAGATCCTTGTTTCTAGGTTGTGCTGAGACATCGATGGGATCATTGGCTTAAGGAGATGGAAGCACTTGTTTTCTATTCACAGTGTCTTTACTTTCCCAGGCCTGGCAGAGAGCAGGGAAGAGGCATCTCCAAGCCTGAGTTCAGCTAAGGGGGAGCAGGGCTGTTACCCTGTGTGTGTGTGCAGGATTGTTCTCACACCCCATTTCCTTCATAGACAGAAAAAAGAGTTATCAGGAGCCTGCGCTTGCTTCCAGCTGAGAGGAGAAAGGAGTAGAGGATGATGATGGTGTCTCAGGAATCCGGGAATGATCAGGTCTCCGCTGGGCTCAGCATGGCAGAAACTGATATGGCAAGCTTGTGGTCAGGGTGGGTGGAAAAATCATTGCTATCAGCCAGAGAGGGCTCTGAATTAAAGCCATCACCCTGATGGTCTGCAGAACTGAGCTGCTGCTGTAAGCATGAGCTGCCCCAGGCCACAGAGGACATGTTCCCCAGCTCATGGGTCACTAAGGGCTGCAGCTTCCCTCCTTGCACTACCTGGCTGCTCACAAGTGAGGAGCACTTCAGCTGATGCTCAGCTGCCCCATCACCCTCCTGGCTGCTTTCAGGCACAGTTGGGGCTCTTGGCTCCATTCCACAGCAGTGCCTTAGTCCTGGATAGAACCCCCAGTTCTATCCTGGCTGTGGCCCAAAGGCCCTGAAGACACAAAGGAGACGTCCAGTTAAGCTGCATGATCTGAGGGAAGGGAAGGCAAATACATCCGAGTTACAGGGTGATTGTGTAATGCATTAATGGAGAAATGGAGCTGAAGGACTTCATCTGGGATGTGAAGTGAGTTAGCGGCAGGCTGGAACTCTCCTAATGGGTGCTCTCTCCTGGGTTTTCTACCTTTCATGAAGCCAGGACATGTTGTTTCAAAACAGTGCATTAGGAAGCCTCTTAGTGTTGAGTTAGGGGTGAGTGGGGAGAAAGAAGCCAGGAGATGGAGGAAAGCACTAAAGAAGATGCTGAGAGATGCAGCTCGGAGCTAGATCTGAACTCCTTGTGGCTATGGACATGACCAAGAGCCTGGACACTCCAGCACAAAGCGCTGACTCCACTCTGGACACAACAACCCCAGCCCTTCCCTACCACCAACGTGTCTTTGGAGGCACCTTCCCAGACAAGGAACTGGGCAAGAGCAAAGCCACCTCCTGTCCTCCCCTCTGGCACAGGGCACGCAGCAGCTCTACTTACCTCTGTGTAATAAGGTTAAATCACCGCCTCGTTAGAGCCCTCAAATTAAGTCACCACCTTGCTGGATCAATACCATTTTCCATGATGCACTTGTGACACTGAGTCTGGGAGATGGATTGATGCTGGGAGGCTGAAGGGCTGCAGGGAAACTCCAGTTAGAGCCAGCACTGGGCAGGGTTTGGTGGCAGAGGGAAAACAGCAAATTTCCAAGGGGAGCAGCAGCTGATGGCAGAGGCAGGATGTGTGGGACATGGGGACAGTGCCCATGCCTCCTGGCACCTTGTGGGGATTGGTGCTGGACCCCATTTTTAGGCTTGCAGTGCTGTTAGAGGGAGCAGGTCCTTGTCTGTAAGAAGGTTTATTTGCTTGGGCTAAAATAGGCTGATCTCTCCTTCCCACTGCTCCCCTTTGCTTCTGAGCAAGGTCTGGGGGAGCAAAGGCCAATGGAGCAGGTCCTATGGGATGATCACAGCGGTATGTGGGTACCTGGGGCTGCTTGATGCCATGCTGATCCCTCTGCACAGGAGGCACAGCCTTCCCACCCTCAGACATCATTGCAGAGGCGATCTGTCCCCAGTGTCCATCTGAACTGCCACCCTGCACAGGCTGGGGGATGAACAAAGAGGCCTGGAGCCCTCTGGAAAGGTGTTAACTGGTGTCCACCAGCTTCCTGTAGCTCGAATGGGGGCTGGATCCAAGGAAGGAGTCCCTGGGGATGGGTTTGAGGTGAGCTGTGGGGCAGTTTGGGTATCTGGGTGCCAGATCGCTGTGCTCCGAGCTGAAGCCAGACCAGAAACAGTCTGTGGCCAGAGTGAATCCTGGCAGTCCCAAACCCCAGCCATGGGGTTTTGCACATCAGCCAGCTCCTTGTGCAGGGAGGTTCAGTGTGGACATCCCTGCCCTTTCCTATGGACCGGAGAACACCCACCTCATCCCAGCCACCTGCCCTGCCCCAGATGCCAGGGCTAAGGTCACTTCTGCACCTATCACCCCCAGGACCACCGAGCCCTTGATCCACTGGTCCTTGTTCCTCTGGCTGGAGGGGCTGGAGGGTGTGTGTGTGTGTGTGTGTGTGTGTGTGGTTTGGAGCAGGGGCTATAACCCCCTTCCTGCTGCTGCAGCTGAACACCACATTGCTGGGTGCTACAGAGGGGATGGGTCCAGTTTGCTGGATGAACTGGTGGGTTTAAGCCTTCTGGTACAAGCCTGGCTCTGTTGAGCATCCCTGTGTAAAATCAGAGCCTTCCCAGCCCTGTGCCTGGGAGCAAGGAGGGGATTTAGAGGAGCAGTTGTAGCCCTAAAACAATTCCACACCCACCAGACCCAAACACCTCCCACCCCCAGGGTGCCCACATCGCTGCCAAACTTAAACTCCTGGGTGCTGGCTGTATTTTCTTTCTAAAACTGGAGCAGCATCATTTACTTGAGATGTTTGGCATCCAAAAACAAATGGGATTCCTCCTCTGAATCCCTCTCCAGGCATTCCTAGAAGTGACCTAGTGGCTGTCACAGCCTCCTATTGGGGAAGAGGCGGAGGAGTGGGTATTGAGGCAGCAGGTCGCTGCCTACCCCAAGGCTGAGGGGGTTGAGTGGGTGCATCTGCATAAAGCACTACGGCAACAGGAGGAGTGCAGAGCTAATAAAAGTGCCCAGAGAGTGGCAATGTGGGCAATGAGGTGGCACTGCTTTTACTTCGGGGCTTGTCATGTCTGGCTTGCTTAAGAAACCTTGTTCTCTCTGTCCCAAGAGCCCTCAGAGGAGCGGAAGCGTTGCTGCAACCCAAATGTCTCCGACCTGCCTCCAGCAGGGATGCAGGAGAAAGTCCCTGGAGCAGAACAGGACCTGTTGGGAGGAGTGGGGGCCTCTTTGGACTGAAAAGGGCTGATTTAAAGGTGAGTAAGGAAGAAACTTCCCTGTGTTTCTGCAGGGAGCAGCGAGCTCATCCCTGGCCTGGAGAGCAGGGAGAGGGCACATGCATCTCCATGTCAGTGCTGTCAGGGCAGCGGGGCTGTCCCTATAGAGGCAGAGCTGAGCTCTTTGTTCATCCCTGCCCTGCTACAAAGCAAGAAGAAAACACTCCTGCCAAGCACAGCCAGAAATAACCCAGGCCTCCAGCAGCCAAAAAGCTTCCAAGGGGGAATTTTAAAGTGCTGGGAATTTTAAAGTGCTGGGAATTTGGCCTCTCAGCCTGTGCTTCAGGCTCCTCTGCTGTCGTAATGTCCCGGGCAGGGAAAGGCAGACCCTGATGTCCAGGACCAGCATCTCCAGAGGGAACAGTTCACTACTGGGTCAGCTCACGACCTGCTCAGCTCCTGGTTTCACCCCAGCACCATCATCACAGCTCCTGCCTTGAAAGGACACTGGTAATGGACAGCACTTCCCCTGTGGTATGTGCTTTGGGGTGGTGATCCCTCATACCTTGCGGTGACAGCCTCACTGCTGGTGAGGCCAGGATATGGGTATCTGTGAAGGGAATGTATGAAGGGTGGATAAGTTTGAGTGGTCCCACTGCCCAGGGGAGAGAGGAGTTGAGGACAGCTAAAAACAGACCTTCCCTGTCTCTGGAAAGGACAGCAGATTCCAGCACTATCCAGATGGGATTTGAGTCACACGGTGAAGAAAACGGTCTCTCTGTGGCACATGTCAGAGGCTTTAGGGAAAAGAAATGCTGCTTCTTTGCCCTGGCTCCACTGTTTGCTCACCCACAGGGATCTGCTGGCCAGCTTTTCCCTATGTCAGCATCTTCTCACCAGCCCAGAGCAAGGGCATTGCGTGGCAGATGCTCCACGGAGGAGGAGACACCTTGTCATACAGCGATCAGCTCCTGCAGTGGCTCAAGGCTGCTCCATCCCTTTGCTCAGGGATGTAACACAGCGCATTGCTCAGCTTCCAGCATCTACAGCCTATAGAAACCTCCTGTGCCCCTAATCTGTCCCTTTTCACCCCAAACTACCCCTCTGATGCAGGACACCAAGATGGAACCAAGCGGTCTGGGCACATGCAGGAGGTCACTGAAGATGTGCTGCCTTTGCCAAACGGGTCTTGTGATGGATACAGGATCGTCTATTTAAGTTTTATAGGGGGTATTTTCCCTTGCCAGGAGCTGGAGAATAGAGGACCCGGGTACCATCTGCCCAGGGGACTGGTGAATCATCCTATTTTCCAGTTAACAGCACTTGTTTGCTTTGGGAGATCTCCAAGTTAAGGGGGAAGAAAAAGAAAACCCAACCCATGGATCTTTTCCCACACAATAAGAAAAATGCCTTTTTTTTTTTTCCCCTACAAAAGCCAGTGTCAACTCTGCTTTTACTTAGCAGTGGGCTGGGTAAAAATAGACAGTGAAGTCATGATGCCTTCAGAAGAAGAACCAGGTATGGTCTGGGTGAGAGAAGTCAGGCTTGGGGGAAGAGGGATAAGAAGCCAGCGGGATGAGGGCAGGCAGGGTTTTATCCCCGCACCGTGCTGGGACAAGGAGAGCTGCTCACCCCAGTGTCTTGTGGTTTCCCTGGAATGCTGCTGGGAGAGCAAGGAGGCTCTTTGGTGGATGCACCACAGTTTAAGCTGTTGTTCACGGGCTGGGGCTGGGGCTGTGGTCCAGCAAACACCAGGAGATCAGCTCTTTGTGAGGCTGAGACACTTGAGGCACACTGGAAAGCGAGGGTAGCAGCAGGGATGGGAAGCTGAGGGGTCGTGCTCTTGCTTTCTCCAGGACCATATTGCTGCAGCCTCCTCTCCCAGCTTTCTGCTCCCATCTGGATTTTCCTCCTGTTTTATCACTGTGCCAAGGCTGTGAGCACACTGGGCTCTTTGGAAGGAGGCTGCGTGTGAGGGACTTTGATGTCTTCTGCTCCAGGCAGGGGCCCTGGAAGCCACTTGGCCACCTGGAGCGTGAAGAGGTGCAGCTGATGCCCACTCTTAGTTCTGCTGGTGGGAGGCTCCTGTGGCAAAGCCTTCACAGGGTTTTCCATGCAGGGTCTGTGATTCTATGTCCAGAGCTCAGCCAGCCTCTGTGCTGGGATAGCTGCAGGTAAAGATGCTCTGGGGCAGAGTCTCTGCACCGTTCCTGCAGCGCAGGAGGAATGAGGGATGTGAGGGCAACTTCTGAGCCTCCCAAAGGAATGTGAAAGCCCAGCGTGTACCAGGGGAAGGGTGAGTCCGGCTTGCATTGGTTGAGTGCTGACCCCAAACTGCTGCTCCTCCTCAGCCTGCATCACTATGGGACTCCCGTCAGTCACCACCCAGCTCTGACTCCGTCCTGCCAAAGCCACAGCTACTGCACTGAGTCTGTACCCTTAGCACCGACTTAGGTCAGGAGTGAAACGAGCTTGGCAGGTCCCAGCCTGCCCCACCATGGCTATTGCTTTCCATGGCTGGAAGCACTGTGGTAGCTGCGAGGAGATGCCAGTTTTACGTAGCAAGAAGATGATGCTGCACCGCAGGGGTGAGGTGCTCTGCCAGAACGGGGGGGGGGAGCTGGAGCTTCAGGCTTCCAATTTTCAGGATACAAGGGAGGGTTTTTTTTGCCTTCTAATTTAAACAAATAGGAACTTCCAAGGGAAAAGCTAATCCCTGTGGAAGCTTTGGCCTCGCCTGCAAGGAAGGAACCTTCCATCAACAAGGAGAATCATACGGTCGAGGAAAAAGCACATCCTTTTCTGCTCACCCGCTCCTGTTTCTCTGCAATGGGAAGCTGGGGAATATCTGCATTGCTCCCGGATCAGTCACTGGAACCAGCATTCTCGTTGGAACAATGGCTTCAGCCTGGGCCCCCACTGCCAGAGCGGCTCCGCTGCAGTGCTCCCGGGTTTATTTTTGTCCGGGAATGGCTTGGAATGGGGTTGTGGAGATCAGGTGACGGTGCCTGAGGAGCGCTTGGCATCGCCCGTCCTGCTGCCGCGTGTGCACGTGTCCACGGAGCAGGCAGCAGGGCTCGGTGGGCAGGGTGATGCACCCGCATTCCTGGATCTTTTCTGTTGGCTGAGCACGCTCTGGGTACCGTCTCGTGGGAGAAGGGATGGCTCAGGATCCTGCTTGACCTGGCTGATAGCTGGAACCAAAACCAGTGACTGTGGCTTGGCGCTGGGATTGGGACCTGGAAACCAGTTTCTGATGGGATCGTGGGCGTTAAGGGAGGTGACACGGTCTAGGGTGAGGCATCCCTGCCCATGGCAGGGGGTTGGAACTGGATGATCTCAAGGCCCTTACCAGCCCTAACTGTTCTATGATTCTATGACTGTGGCAGAGATGGGGAAGCCCAGCTTTCCCAAGGACCAGTGTGATGTCTCCATCTCTGAGCTTGCCTCCTTTCCATAGGGTTTCCATACTGGGTTGTGTTTGAGCAGGGCCTGAGAACTCCATGCTGTCCCAAAGGAGCACTCAGCCTGGCAGAGGTGACTGGGATAACCTTTGAGTTACCTGCTTTGGCAAGGTAGCCAAATCCAGACAGTCTTTGACATAACAATCAATACTGAGGGTCCCTGGGGCACACCAAGGAAATCTGAGCTTCAGAAAGCACCATGACCCAGGGGCTGTGGGCAGGATTTGGGTTCACAGTCCTGCCTGGTCTGAGGGAAGGTGGGAGGGGGTATTTCCTCTCAATGCCATTGGCATCTGGTGCATTCCCAATGGTCAGCTGTGCAACCAAACCACTCAGAGCTGGGGTTCAGGGATGCCCCGCTGGCTGCCGGCATCCTTGGCCATTCCAGCTGCATCCGCAACCTCAACAGAGCCCCTTCTTGGAGGTGAGTGTGACCCCTGCTTTCTCCATCAGCTAGGGACAACCTGCATCTCTGGAAGCTTCTATTCCCCAGCAGGGTGTGAAGAGAGAGTGAATCTCCATTGAGTCTGAGGAGTGTACAGGCTTCTGTGCTGGAGAGGGAGCAGAGCTGCCCTGGGGCCTATGGGAGATGGGGCATGTGGGGATCCGGGGGTTAGTTCAGCAAGTGGCACCAAAGGAACATAAGGAACAAGACCTTAACTTCTCAGGCAGGAGATGAGGAGAGGAGCAGGGTGCTGTGCTGGGGGTCCAGGCAGTGCTGAAGGCACTGGGAGCATCACTTGATGTGCATCAATGGCCCGGAACCCTGTCCTGTGACTCGACACATGGGTCCAGCCTGACTTCAAAGGGATCCAAGTGCTCTGTGGCAAAGGATGGGGCTCACCCTGCCCCCAGGAACACTCAAGCTGTGCTCTGTGAGCAGCACATTGCCAACGTCACCCTCTGTGGGTCAGGCCACCCTGCAAAGAGTCTCCTTTTATGTAAAGCCAGAGCACATGATGCGAGAGTGGAAGGAGCCTACCTTGCCCCAGCAGGTCATTCCAGCCTTGGCTGAGCTTCCTTCCTCTCGAGGGGATGCTTGCCAGCATCTCGGAAATGGCACCGGTGGGATGGCAGCCCAGGCACAGCGCTGTCAGTCAGGGACCTGCTCTCTGCAGCCCTGAGCAGCGAATCCCTCTTGCAGCAGGAGGATGAGGATGGGCAGAGCGGGAGCAGCTCCCTGTGCCAGCCCTGCACTGCCCGTGTTTGGGAGCTCACGGCTGAGTTCTCTTGCAGCAGGGACCCGGTGACAATCCCAGCATCGCCTGCTGCTCCCTGTGGTTTCTGTGGCTTCTTGTCATGAGTGCAACAGACGATTTATGTTGATGCAGGGCCTCCAGGGGATGCTTTATGGCTTGTGGCATATGGAAATCTACAGACCCCTCCGGCAACAGTTGCATTGAGTCTCACACAGCTCCAAGGGACTGACCCTGTTGGTGCTTCCCAGCTGCGTTTCTCTGGATCACCGTGTGTGGATATCTCTGATGTTGAGATCAAAGAGCCTGTGCTCATCCACGGGACTGAAACCCTCAGCGGAAGGGATGCAGGCACAAAGTACCGTCCTCTCCTGCATTCGCAGAATGGAGTGTGGAGAGAGCACGTGTAGAGAAAGCACACAGACATGCACAGGAGTAAAACTGTGCTATCATCCCTGAGTCTTTCCATAGGGAAAATTACCAGGCTGCTCTGCTGGATAGAATTCTGTGGACATTGAGCCCACAGGAGCTGCTGTGTTGAATGCAAAGTGCATCCAGGCAGGATTTGTACCAGGGCACTGACACGTACCCCAGTCACTGGACTGTCACCCTCAAGGCGAAGTCTTTCTGGGCTTGTTAGGGAAGGTGTCAGGGACCTTGGAGGCTAACACTGTAGCACAGCCAAGACTGACAGGTCAGGGCTTCCCCTTTCACTCTTCTGGTGTTCCCCTAATTGCAGCTCTCCCTAATTATAAGGGAGTGATGTGGCTTTGGCAGCTGCAAGCCAGGTCCCCAAGGCGAGCCCCAGGCAGAGGTTAGGTGATGGGGAAGGATGCGGACATCCCTGGCGCCCAGCATGCTCTGGGTACCACAGAAGGGCCAAGCATCAAGAGGAGGAACAAAACCAGAGCCAATCTTGCCAGAGACATGCTGCCCCCCCCCAAGTTGTTGTGCTTTGCTGAGGGAAATGTTCCATGTGAGCTGCAAAGTCGTTTTCCAGGTGGGAATGGTGACTCCTCTCAACACATGGCTCTGGGAGCTGCGGCTCTGCAGCGGAGGTAGTGAATCCCACAACAGACTCATGTGGGCTGGCAATGCTCTGGCTCTTCCAGGGGAAAAGAAGGGCCAGCTCGCTGCCAGGCACTTCAGATAAGACAAAGCAAGAGCTGGGTGATCTTTAGAAAGCAGGTTTCCCGTTGGTTGCTGATTTAACAGCTTTCTCCTTCCTTATTTCCATGTGAGGATAACTCAGTTTTGGTTTAGGTATGTCTTCCCATGGGATAATAACCTTTCTAAACATACTCATCCAGGAGGAGCATCCAGATGTCAGCGTGAACGTATAATGTGAGTGACTCTGGGGTGATTTCATGTTTGTGCTCTTAATTCACCAATACAAACTCAGACAGTGGTGATTTTTTCCACCCCAGACACATCTTCAACCTGAGTACATGTCTTGCTCTCTCAGGCTGGGGCAAATAACGTGACTTAGACTTTTCCATGCCCATGCATATCCTGGTTTGAAATCCCTGGGCTAAGGGGGTGTTTATATGTCAGGAAGGGTGTCAGTTAAGGCCATGATAGATGATGCTTTTGTCCCCTGGAGAAGCTGGAGGTGGGAATAGAGACATCAGTTTATACCACCTTAGAGGTGATAGTGATGGAGGTGATAGTGGAGTGAGGTCCTGGGAGACGGATGGTGGTTTGGGAGACAGTGAACAGCATGGCTGCTGCTTTGCATGGACAATACAGGGTCTAGACGAGGCAGAGCAGGCTGGTCTCTCTGTCCTGCTGCTACAAAGGGCTTGCAGATGGAAAGCTCATGGTTTGGGCCGGCTGCTTGGCCAGGCCGATAATACCTCTGGGAGAAGGGCAGCGAGGGCAGCTCCGTTACAGGCTGTCACACACCCCATATCCTCCAGGAAAGCTTTGGGATGTCTTAGAGGAAAGCTGGTGTTGCAGCTCCTCCTTCCATCAGTGGGTTTCCAGGGCAGGTGATTGCAGCTGGCTGGGGGCAGTTATCCCCACTGAGGAGCAATGCAATAAACCCCATCCCTGTGCAGCATCCTCCATCCTCGTACCCTGCTTCCCCATCCCAGCAGGGCCTGGCTGCCCCTGTGCTGTCCCACCACAGCGAGTGTCCCAGCAGAGAGGGCTTTTCTTGCTGAAAAGCTGCTTAGCAGCTTATGGAAACAATAAAAGTAGTATTATCTCCAATGGCGAGGCAGATGGTTTGGATGATTGGTTTGACTTTTAAGCTGGATTTGAGCTACGGATATTCTGATTTTTAACAATTTTTGGCTGGTCAGACTCCGGCAGAGTAATCCCCACATTCCTGCTCCCTATAAACCCAGTCCTCTCCCCTCCAGGGATGGAGACCTGCCCTGCATGGGGGAACATGCAGAGACCAGCATGGGATGGGGCACCCAGGCACCCAGTGCCTGTGCTGGCAACCACCCGACCCCACCATCACCAAGGCCACCACTAGCCCTCAAT